TGCACCTGCCAACCATCCGTATCATCTCACCTTTCGGCGTTCTTAGGCTGATAGCTGAGGTTTGCGGAGTTCTGCACAACGGATTGCCCAATCCCAACCGGCCGGCGATCCTGTGTCTGCGTGGCGTCCGTCTCCTTTCCTACCTAGCCGCCTGGATTGACCTCTCAAACCATTGTGATAGCGGTCGCTCCGCGATCCGCCATCTATTTTGTCGAGCTTGTGCGCCCTTCCTACAGTAAGTGCTTACTCGTTTTTTGGCTTAACATTTAGAGGCGTTAATAGGGCAAAAATTGTATGGTTTTACTTTGAAAAAAAAGCATTTTTTTTCAGAAATCAGATATCGAAATATGCTCGTTCGGTACAGGCGAAAAGTACAACATCCCTATTGCTTGAGTGAACAGTTACAGTGCTCATTTCCTGTTCTTCAAATACTCTTGCGCGTAGTCACTTGAAGGGGTGTCATTACTTTGTACAGACAGCCAATGAAGAAACTTCGGTTTCAGTCTTGCTTTCTTGTATTAAATATGCCAATACCCTTAAATGACTAGTTAAGGAAAAAATGGTGGCTCACTTATTATATATATAAGCCAATTGGATCGGTGTTCGCCCATTCCTGAGTGAATGTATAAATAAGTAATAAATAAATAAATAGAAGCAGATAAGCGTACACCGATCTGATAGAGGACACACTCGTCCGTCAATGTTGCCATCAGAGCTCTCACTTGAGCCTCCACCGCGGGGCGACTAGGATATAGACAGAAGGACATAACCGACAAAGACATGGGACACTACAATGGCCATTTCTGGCTTATTTGCCGTCATCAGGTAGTGATACCCAACTCCAGTGTTGCTGCTGAAATTGCTGCCACACTCCAGTTTCGAACTCGAGTTTATGCACCAAATAAGGCAAGTATTTCAGTTATTTTAAGCACTTTTTCCGTCGCTTTGACACTTTTAGATTCCTCCGGAGGTGGGTCCTCGAAGGTCGTTGTGATGATCCATTTAACGAATTCAGCATCATCATCAATCATCGCTTCGACGATCATGCAGGTGTCTGTCCTTATGCACGCCCACTTGTGCATTTCCTGAGTATCATTTGTGTACAGTCTTCCTAACGCATTTTACTGCATCTCTCTGTAGATATTTCTTTTTGGAAACACTTTGTCAGCCTCCGTTCTCTTTCCCGGGACCAATCTGAGGACGGACTCCCTGCTCTCAGGCGACCTCACCGCACAGCTTACACATCCGCCTTCTACGGCCTTCTGCCGTCATCTTTTGAAAGCTCAGTCCTTCGATGTGGTCTGTCGCTCACTCTTTTGCGCAAAATCGAGCCTAAGGTGGGTGGATCTCTGGAGTTATACCAGCACCTGAATAACGACCGGTTTGTGTGACGCTACCTGTTTATCTTAAAATATGGAGTAAAGATGGCAGGAAAAAGGATTAGGAAATCAAAAAGAGTGTGTAACTTGAAATCCCCGGAGGCTCATTAGTGTCTTATTCTTGTGATAGGTGGTATGTTCGCTTGATTTATCATAGGTTTTGAGCGGTTAATACCAAGCTTGTTGTGCTAGTTGTCAGCGCAGCACCATTCATTTGTGCGGAAATAGACTTTGATCCACTACTTACATTAACAACCCGTCTCCTTCTACCTTGCCCTGTTTGTTTCCTATCTCCTTCCACAAGCTTGCATCTGTCACCGTCATCTAGCTCCCGTTGGAAAGAGAAGTCTAACGGTTGACACGATTGAGTGTTACTAGACTAAATCACTAATCCCTCAGGACTAGCCGCACTCCGAAGACCTAAATGCTTTGTAGTGTAAAGTTTTTCTTTCGCATCTCAGGCAACAGTGAAATTTGGGGTCCACTACAGCTTATTTTTCGCGTAGGTGTCTACTTATTTCGTAGGAGTGGGCATGCTTTGCCGAATTATGACCTTAACTTGAATTCAGGTTTTGTTACCTGAATGTTTTTCATCTAGTTTATTCTTTGTTTATTTCTATTTTCCTTTTTTGACGACATGCGGTTGCTTTTTGGCTTAGAAGCTGTGTCTTTATCATCTCTAGAGGGTTCAGTCAGTACCAGTTAGTATATTTGGAGTAGATGACCGAAGCCCTTAAAAACTCTATTGAAACGGTAGAGGGATGCATAAAATATAGTGAAACATGCACAATTGTTACAGATCGCTTTTGTTATGCAAGAGTGCATAAACATATTTAGGAAACATTAATGGTTTAGAAGGTGAGGCGTTTGCGGAATAGCAGCTTACAAAACGTTCACTGTATATCCACTATGAAATATTCGTCTGGACACCTTTAGTGTAAATAAAAGCCCTCTTGAACTAAAGCGAGTAGTATGTTTGTTTGTAGTCATTTATGTTAGGTGAGTGTTTGTATTGGCCTTTAACAGATGATTATCCAGACGTTTCTTGAACACGTTCACAGTAGGTGATTGCACAACAGACTCTGGCAAGGAGTTCCACTGTCGAATGACCCTTGGAGAGAAGAAGGATGAACGTTGGTTTGTGCGGCTCAGTTCCTTCTTCAACTGGCAATCGTGTCTTCTGAGGCCCCTTTTTGGGGTCGTTTGAAAGAGCTCCTCCCACTTGACATCCAGACCAGTTCCCCTTATTAACTGAAACGTTGCTATGAGGTTACCTCTGTCTTGTCTATAATGGAGAGGAAAGAGCTCTAAAAAAGTCAAACGCTGTTCGTATGTGAACTGCTTAATTTCAGGGACTGCCTTCGTAGCACGTCATTGAACACCTTCAAGAATCCCCATGTCATTCTGAAGCTAAGGCCGCATGAATGTTCCATATACTTTTCCGAAGATATCTGTATTCAGGTTAGCAAACCTCCGTCGTATGTGCTCATGACCGACATTGCTCTCGCTGCGACTTTGGAGCACTGTGCGGTGACACTTAGGTAGTCTTTAATAAGTACACCAATGTCTCGTTGCACACTCACGGTTTCAAGTGGTCGGTCTCCCAAAATAAATAGGAAAAATAGATATGATAGAGAATTGATAAAGAGTCGACGATTGTGTCCAATTAGGCACTATTGGGCCTTCTTTTTTCCTATTGGTTGTGTTTCTGATTTTAATTATCGCGCGCAAATATTTGGTAATTAAAATAATTATTCCTATTATTTTCTACTTTTATACGCTCTACTTTTTAAAATTATTTTTTCCTTGATATGCCCCACCCATTTAACCCTTATTCTCACCTGTCCCGTATTACAGAAGCAGGGGGTATTAGCGTACTTTAGTGGACCCTAAAGGTAACTTTTTGCTGGATCCTAATTTCAAATCGAATGTTAAAAGTCTTTGTGTCGTTTAGGAACAAAAAGAATTCAAAGCAACGTTTTTCCTTTATTGCTCCTAGGCCTCATTCTTTCCAGCTTTATATTAGGCTATAGCTCAAGGAGGACTTCAGAACTAGTCAACCCATTCGCCAGTGCGTTTGCCAGTAATATTCCTACCGTGAAACTATGACGTTACTTCTCTCGTCACTCTAGTTATAGATCATAGAAGTTTATATTAGCACCTAATTTGGCTACGGCTCTGAGTATTTTGTGTCTTTTTTGTATTTCCAGCACTTCATATTCAATCAATCTTCGAATTTTCCTCAGCTCGGCCTCTGGAACCATGCAGATGGCTGGGACGCTATTCAGTCCGGATTGGTTGCCTACGAGCAAGGCGTCAATTCAGCGCTATATCAATCTCGATTTGCTTGGTAGGCAACCTTCTAGAAATTCTGTGCCAACAATGTGTATGAAAGGGATTTGAATATATTTGCTTTCCTTCAAAAATGTCTAGTCGACTGCGCCGAAAAATAAAAAAAATACCTCGTTCAAACTATCAATTCCTATTTGTTCTAAGGAGACAAACTTCCACTATTAACTCCTTACGTGGAAACCTCTCTGATTTCCGACCGTAACAAAAGACTACTGGATTTCCCCTGCCCATGACAAAATGTAGTACGCAATTCGTTTTTCAAAATGCTGCGTAATGTAACACTAGTTTTTAAGACCCTGTCTTTCTATTCCGCCTTCCCGTCCATTGCAGTGCGTTGCAACACACAGCTCTAACAGTGTTGGCGGCCTGAGGCGGTATTCTCTTCTTTCATCCGATCAGTTTAAAGACGACGAATGGCCCCACGAAATGCTTTAGCATGCATTTTTGGCCGATGCTTACTGTAAATAGTGTTTTTTTATGAATACTCGCTGAAAGCTATGTAAGTGCGTGTTTTGCATGGATTTTCATCCGGTAGAACTTTACAGAGGTGTTTGCGAGTATTATTAATGGAAGGCAGCCTATCACGGCGTTTGCATGTCATTAACATATGCTTTATACTTTTTTGGTATTGCGACTTTTGCCTGTCGTTCTATTCCCCCCAGTGCTGTGGCCTACCTCGAAACGAAATTTGAAATTAGCCAGTTGTGTAAATTTTCATAGAAAAAGTGTTCTTTCACCAGTTTCCTTTCGCTCCTTCAGGTTTCAAACGCTGGTTCAAAAAGAGAACGAGAAGCGTTACGTCCTGGCACAAGTCCGTTTGCTGCCCAATGTAGCATTCGCTAGAGATGAAGGTACGTCTTCTTTTGCATGCCAAAAACTGCCGTCTTGTAGAAACTTCAAGGCATTTGCTTTTGGCTGAACACGTTGGGAAAGGCGAGACACTAACTGACCTGAAGGAAGACGCTCAGGAGAACATGGCGCAACTAGCAACTGAAGAGGAGAACCTGAAAATGGCTGACCAGCGTTACACCGAAGAGGCCCATGGCCACACATTCACAGAGCCACGAGTGTGTGAGCATATTTTGGAGGAAGAAAGGCACGTACCGGTTTATATACCTGACACATAATTTCATTCAAAAATAAAATATTCAGTCTAAAGAAGACATCGTTCGCCGGGGTACAGTACGGTCGGTATTTTATAAGAAATTCCAAAATTTTCGAAGACTAATAATTACTCGTAATCACTCGCATTAAGTGGGACTGTAATATTTATTATCATTCAGCCTAATTTTACGTCATTTCAGTCACGTCAGCATGCCAGTGTTTTAACGAGTTCCTTTCCGATCTCTTAAAAGATGTATATTTTGCAAAAAATGGCTACTTTTCTAATATGTATTTAACTCATTATAAAATTATAAATTCAAAAAATTTTACAGAAAATTTTTACAAAATTATCATTTTTTGCACTCGTTTGGTGGCAAATTACGCGTTCTCCAAATTGTATACTTAAAGGAAGAGTATATTTTGGTTTTAGAGAAAAGTTGAAACGGGGATACATTAAAAGAACACCCGATTCGGATCATCGAAGGAAGCCACTTGCCGAAGCTCCCACAAATATTGCTAACACTGATGCCCACTCGATCACCATTGCGACCAATTCGTCCCCGAAGCCGCCTCTCTCACCACGACCCATAAAGTCTCCTCTCGGCTCTTCCGGATTGCCATCACCACTCAAACCGTCTCCACCGCCTCCATTTGAAAATCAGATGACAACGATGGTTGCCTCGTCGGAAGGGTGTATTTCGGAGTTTGACTTGCTTGCTGAACTCAAGCAGCAGTTCAGGTTGCGAAGTACACGCGGCAGGCCACCGCCCGATCGGATTGGTGATATTATCCAGCCCGGAGTCATCATGCAGTTGGTAATTTGTAATAATTTTGCGATATAGTTTACGGTCGTTCAAGAGGATTGGGACACATCAAAGCAAAAAGGAAGTTTACCACAACTTCTCTGCTCGATTCGTAGATTCCTGTTTGCGGATCGTGATCTATGTTTGCTGCTACTTCGAAGGGGCAGTCTAATGGCTTCCAGTCGAATATACTGTACTCATTGGAGCCAGTGAAGCTTTAACTGGAAGCTGTTCACGTAGCAGAGATCAGTTAGCTGAGATTGCAGTACTGATAAACACAATGCGGAAGGTTAGTCTAACTTGTCCTGTTGTTATAAGGTAATACCTTTTCCTCAGCGACGTTTGCATCGAGGCTGCACCAGAGCGCACATGTCTTAGCCTCCCGCCCCATCAGTCGTCCAATTATACAACTACAGTTGTCGGCATAACCCCGTGCAACATTAACTGCAATTCTGAAATATGGTTAGGTTTGGAGGAAATCACCTACGTGGAGTTGTCATGTTGATCATCCTGTATTCTAATCTCAGGATACTTAAGCCATGTCAGGATCCCGGTTTCCCAACGAACATCCTTCTAGAGGTCCGCAAAAAAATTGCACTCGCTAAAAATGACTACTTACGTAAGACGACCCTTATGAGTGTCCCATTTACTACCTCGGTGCCCAGACGCGTCTGATGGTACTACTACTGCGCGGTGAGTGCAAATAGTCTGCGTCTTTTTACTGACGTTCCCTATAGCCCATATCTATTCGACATTTTGTGAACATCTTAATAGCGGAATTTTTAGTAAAAAGTTCAGTTCGTAGTTTCGGAACTCTAAAGGTAAATGCAGTAACAGGACAGAACCAACGTCCTTTGACAACTGAAAACCTTCTTTAAATCTAAAAGCAGGACTTCTTTTAGAGTAGAACATTTGGGGACAAAGTAATTTATTACAAAATGAGTACAAGAAAGGAAATGTTTGCGTATGCTTTCTATGCGTAAAGTTTGGATTTATAAGGGTATTGGAAGCCAGTAGGGAAAAGTTCCTGCTAATTAAGTCGCCATTATTAAGTCAACTCAAATTAAGTCGCCATTGTTTTACACCGATTCGGGTTTTTGCAGACAGCCGGAAAAAATAGTATTCAATAGCCGACATTCTGGTATGTCTGAACTATTTTGGAATTATGCTGCATGTTTTTTACTCCTTTCTGACCGAAATCACATTTCAAAAGTCAATATAATGTTTCTTTTGATGCGTCATCAACTGTAAGCTGTGGCTTTCCGGACAGCGGTTGTGTGCATTAGCGGCAGCGACAAAGGAGT